CCCTCCCTCCCTCCCACTGGGACAGCCTGGCAGAAGGCAGGCGGCTGAACAGAGGCCTCCCCCTCCCTCGGGAGTCAACCCCAGGCCTCAGCCAGGTTCTCCCCACAACTCTCCTCTCCAAAAGGCCCCTGGGCTTCCTGGGGTTCTCTGCCCTTTGGAGAGGTTTCGCTTCTTCGGTTCAGTCCTAACGCAGAGCTGAAGAAGCTTCCTGGAGGAGGAGCAAAACCTTTTCAAGGAAAAGAGCCCAGGAAGCCCAGGGGCCTTTTGGGACAACCAGGGGGCCTGGATGGTGGAGACTCTGCAGAGACCCCTTGAATGGGTCACAAGGAGTGGGCTGCCCACCCCTGACCTTGGATCCCTTCTCTCTGGGGCTGAACAGGCCCCGTTCCCTGCCGAGAAGATCCTCCGGCAACGGGTGAGCTGGCTGGAGGATCTTTGGGGAGCTCCAGGGGTTTTTGGTGTGTGCAAGATTCCACATCAGTCCAGCTGGAGAAATGGAAACCGACAAACCAAGATCAACCCATGGCTTCCTCTTGAGGGAGGAGAGGGGAGAAGCAGCAGGCTGGACGTCCCCAGAGAGGACGGAGCTGCAGCCTCCTTGATCCAGGCCGGGGGTCTCCAGTGGTGCGGCTGCCTTCAGAGGCTGCGGACGCTCCACCACTGGAAGAGACTGGAGATCCCTTTGTCTGAAGTGGCAGAGGGTCTCCTGCTTAAACGGGGTTGGGCTAGAAGACCTCCAAGGTCCCTTCCAGCTCCTCTTCTTCAGAGCCCACCCTCGGCCAGCAAAGACCAGCAGAGACAGGGGTGATGGATGGCCGGCAGCCCTGCCCTCCCGCAGCCCATCCGTCTTGTGGACACGTGGCGGGCGGGGAGGGCTCTGCGGCTGGGCTGCCCCCCTCCTTCGGAGGCCGTGTTTCTCCGCACGTGGAGAGCGGCTGCAACAACACAACTGGGCTGGGGGGCCTGACAAGGGCAGGAGAATTTATGCGGCCCAGAAATGGGGACTTTCTCCCTTCAACTTTTCACCTCCTAAGTGGGGGGGGAGGGAGGGAGGGGGGAGGGTCCTTGGTGAGGACGACGACGTGTGGCTCTTGCCCCGGCCCAGCCACTACCTGCTGGGACAGCTTCCAAAATAAAGATTATGCAAATGCCGTCAATTCCTGCAGCCGGAGAGCTGGCTCTGCACGGCCATCCATCACCCGGGAGGGAAGAGCATGCACAGGCAAGCCACCCCCCTCCTTGGAAGGACTCCTTCCCCGTCAGCCAGCTTGGCCAGGGAGGGAAGCCTGGCCTGCAGCAGGGAGGACGGCAGCCCTCCCCCCCCCCCCCCCCCCTGGGGGATGGGGGAAGGGGGGGGGGGGGGGGGGGGGGGGCGC